GCGACGCATGTATACTCGCAGCCTATGTTGAGGGCTTGGGGGTGCAGCGAGCCAAATGGCAAAAAACGTGTTCCTTATCACGAGACTGTCCATACGTACAAACATATCCGCGCGCCCTGATATAGGACTTCTGTGTTCATGAGTCCCTGCATCTAAGACTACATAATTTAAAATTTTGCGTCCATGCAGACAGGCACGTGGACATAGAGGCATGCATATACACATGCCACACACACATAACTAATTTCAGAAGCAAAAGATGTGGTTATGTATACATGTATGTATACATGTGTGCGTATACACATGCATGCATATGCAAGTTAATGTGCCTACGGACGGACACGCATATGGATACGTAGATCTGTATGTATGTATGTATGTATATAGACACACATATACACATCTCTTCATACATTGCTGCAGTCCATTAAACGTGTACATATATGTGTATATTTCATGGTCTTTATATGTATCTAGTTAAGCGCACACACACACACACGCTCTCTCTCTCTCTCTCTCGCGATCTCTCCCCGCCGGCCGGCTCTACATGGCCAGAGGCATGTCTCGCTATGTACACATGCATATGTGCAGGCATTTTTGTTGTCGATGGACATAGAAATTACCGTTGATATGCCGGTGGTGCGCGTTTACATGTGTGCATACGAATATCTCCGCTGGCATGAATGCGCCCATGTGCACTTGTTGAACCGCTTGCGTGTCATATGCAGAGTAGATAGGTAGGCCTACAGATCTACTATATAACACAATCCGTAGAAGTAAATGCACGCACACACCCTTGTATATGTATAAACGGGTACATACATCTTTACATATCAAGCCATATATATATATATGCGGCTGGATGTATATATATATATACATATGTATACAAAGCTAGACATGTATACATGCCTTATGAAATTAATGACAGCCTTTGCAGTTTTATCCAGTATGTGCCACACGAGAAATGCCATGTCTGTTCTTTCTCTCTCCCTCTCTGCCTCTCGCTCTTTCTGCAACAGATAAGGGGCGGGCGCATTTAGAATTGTTCCGAGCCCGGGAGAAGACTGCAGTGCATCGGTGTGCTTGAAGTGCTACGCTGTAGGGCCCGCCCCATGGCGAGCAACTGCCGCAAGCCTTTGACACGGATCTCCAAACCTAAGAGCTCGGGTGTCACCATTTTTGTCCGCTGCTTTCGCTGACTCAGACAGCTGGTGCAGCTAACGCTAAGAGCTCCTTGCCCTTGGTTTGGGGGCCTGGTCATAACCCAGAAGCAAAAAGGGTTCACGTATGAGAGTAGGGACTTTGAACGCATACATGTCATGGGCCGTCCTGCCCGTAGAAATATGCTTGTATACAGTATTCTACTCCCAAACCGCAAAATGTGTTTATCAGGACTACTGCAGGGCTGAGTACGCGTTGAATCTCGAAGGACTGCGCAATAAGGATCGGGGCCTGGCGAGCTTTGCGGTGTGCTTCACCATGATTCTACAAACACTGGAAATGAGTACTGCGATGCTACTTGATACTGCGTCTCGAAGGTTGCTATTTTCGTCCGCTGAGCCTCAGGGCGCTGCGTTTTCATGCCCGGAAAGTTTCTTTCACGCGCAGGGTTTGCGTTGCTCATGTCAAAGCCCATATCTGAAAAGGCAAACGACTGATCTGCAGCCAAAACAGCATGCAACTCGAGCCAAATCTGCATCTAGGTTGCAACCGCCCCCAAACGCCAGGTCCCCCTGTCAGCACAAGGAGCAATCCCCCTGGGGAGCACTCAAAAACAAAGTTCTTGGGTACGTATTGGTGGCCTAGGCATTGAGGGGTCTTGGACCTGGAGCTATAGACCCTGATGCCTTCAAGACCCCCAAGGCCACAAATCGCGAACTCCAAATTTCAAGCTTGGAGCGATCGGACACTAAGAGACGACAATATAGAATCTAGAGTACTCAGCCCTTACTACAACCCTCATTATAGATGGTCGCACGATTCATTGATTCATTTTTGGTTCGTGCGCAAACCCATCTCAAAACATGCCCTTAGTTCGAAAAAAGAGTCTGGCTTTAACGTGGCTGTTCGCAGCACAGGACAGCTGATTAGTTGGTTGATGGGAAGCTAAGCATATTCAAAAAACTATCGCAGAGACAAATACACGGAAACCGAATAAAACAAACACACCAAACCGACTAAACACCAACAGGAGACTAGTCTCCCAGATTGTTTGCCCTTTTGTGTTTGTTTCTTTGCTGGTTTGTAAGTGTGTGCGTATGTGTGTGTGTGTGCGCGCTCTTTTTGCCCATGCGCGTGTCTCGCTGCTTGCGCATGGGGGGCTTGGGGGTTTACGGCAACCTTTCTCCAAAACTCTGTTGAGTAAAGATTAGATCAGGTAGGAAGATGGTTTTCATTCTAGTTAGGAAACTACGCCAATGCAGCCTAAGGGTTTGTCATCGCTGGCTATCAATGTTTTTGTGCAACTATGAACTTAAAGGTTCTTGAGTAAGACCTCGCACTCGATGCATTTGCTTACTCTTCTTTTAGTTTAAAACAACCAGTTATATCGGATGATAAAAATAGCAATCGCCTCCAGTGTTTCACGACTATGTCTAAATCTTTGCAATGAGCCTTTTCATACTGACGTATTTGTGTATTGCGGATATATATATATATATACGTATGTATATGTATATATGTATGTGTGTGTATATATGCGTATGTATATATGTGCGTATATATATATATATATGTATGTATGTATATATTACATATACATGTGTATATATGTATATGTGTGTGTATGTGTATATATATATGTATATGTGGGATGCATGTATTTACAAACTGAGTACGCCAGCAACAAGTATGCTCTGTAAAAGCAGGTTAGCACCTGCGCACCATCTTACCTGATGACAGGCCAGTCACTATGTACTCACAGCAACCAAACATTTAGTATACCATTCTGGCACATATTGAAGCGCAATATATGCAGCGCAATTCACTGCCAATTCGTTTGCTAATGGTTAAATCTCACGTAGCATCAATATCAGTTTGATACGGTTGGTCTTGTTCTTACATGTGCATTCCATGTTCGTTTCCTGAACGTTTACAGGTGATGAATATGGATATTGTTGAATACGCGGTAGTATTGCCCCGATTCCCTCTTAATTGTATGTACGAACACAAGTAAGCGAGCATAACCCACATACAAACGACATGTCACATTTGCTAAGATGGTTCACAAACGCACACACACACACACGCACACATACATACATACACACACACATACATACATACATACATACATACATACATAGATAGATACATACATACATACATAGATAGATAGATAGATAGATAGATACATACATACATACATACATATGTATATGTATAAAAACGTATATATGCACATGCAAACGCATATAATTCATGTGGTTCAACAGCTAGATGAGACATCGACATTTAAAAACAGCCACAAGTCCGCCGACTGCGCTGGACAGGTTGGCGCTTGCCCGGCTTGTTTGTTCAAGTTTACGTAGTTCCAGTCTTTCCTTTTTCATCAGGACGGGCTCCAACTAAGATGAATAGTTTCGGGACGTCATACAAGGCTTTAATCTCGCGAGGAGCACAACGAGATGTGCTGCATTCTGGTTATCAGCGCAATTTGGGGGACAACGAAAGGGCATTTGAACCCAAGACAACATCACAGCTTACAACACAGAGTCAGTACACAACTACTATGTAGGCATGAAGTGCTAAGCCAACATCATTTCCGTATTCCTTTAGAACTATATACAACTACATCATTGCTAAACAACTACGCGAGCACTTCTCAAATACCAAGCGAGTATGCAGGGACGTTTGTACATATATCAACTGAGTAGCAGCCTTTTCAACCTGAGTTCTCATTTTCTCACAACGGCTTCATTGATGGTCTCGCCTTTCATCAGGAAATGTATTGTTCATCAACATGACACTACGCCTCATGTACGATAAGAAGCTACCATGGAATTGGACACCCGAATCTGGTGCCGTGCACGTACGCGCACAACATACGAATACAAACTAAGAGGGGACCAACCCGGCTTGCCCCTCCCCGAGAGATCATTTACACCTAAGAACTCTGAACCTGAAACATTTTGAGTGCTCCTTCCATACTTCCGGCCGCCCCCATTCGGCTCAGTCAGTTGAGAATGACCTGATTCGTGGAGCTATTTTGGAGTCTTGGATTCACTCGTTGGGGTCGAGAGTTTTGGGAGATTGAGGTTGAAGGCTGGGAGTTGGGGATGGGATGGGGTTCGGAGCTTTTTATTTGTGGACATCAGGCACTGTTCGGTGCCTGAAGGTCCTGTGCTGCACCTAATTCGCTGAAAGCAAAAAAAACCACGAGTTCTTCACAAACCCTGAGTTTCTCTAACTCCTAACTCCCGAGAGCAGCCCAGTCTGTCAGCTCTCTGGCTCAGGAGATGTGTTCGGATTTTTCACAGGTTCGTCTGAGGTTCGTGCTTTGGGCTTCGGTCTCCTCGGCTCAAACTGTGGCAGGGGCTTTCCGCTTTCGCCTTTTGAGCTCCTGCTTTTAGGGCTGTAGGCTATTTACCGGACCTTCCCCGAATTGGAGACCTGCCTCGAACGACACATGAAGCCAGCCTGAGGTGGTCCCGGCAGGTCTCTCCGACGATGTTTCCGTCGCCGCCACAGCAGAAGTCTCCACTTTGGGCGTACCGGCGCTTTCAGCGTCGGCAGACCCGGCAAATGCGCAGGCCAGGTGGGTAAAGTGTAAGGTGCTTGATTTAAGCCAGATCAGATTCAACTTTGGCTGGTCTTAAGACGGAACATGACTCCAAGCTTCGCGATGATACTCTGAAGGCGGAATTAAGCCATCGTAATCTTTATAGTCACTGCGATGAAGACACAAGGACCGAGGTGGCTTGCACCATTTTTTGGGCCTGAAATTCTTGAAAGCTGCGACGGATCGCCAAGTGAAGCCTGGGTGAGACTGGACATGGCTAAAACGAGTCGGTGCTTGCACCTGTCTCAAAGTCGACGCTATGAGAAATTGGTGGCAGATTATTTCGAAAGTGGAAATGGTGGTGAAAGTGCGAATGCAACTGCTCCATGAAAGGAGTGGCGGGCAAAGCCCTTGCTGCGACCTTCTTCGCCTTGTTTCCACCAAAGGCTCCAGCAGCCTTCAGCGGGTTTTCAAGTGCAGGTCCTGAAGCCTTTCATGAGTACTCTGCCGTCCAACTAGACCCTGAACCGTCCTCGACTGTAAGTTCTGAACAAAGTTATGACACACCCGAACTTGTAACCCCGCGCCTTGTAAGTAATTGGTGCAAGGACTTGTGGCTTGGCAAAAGGCGACGTTCGTGGAGGCAGCAGATGCTTCGCGCGGATCTTGCCCACAAACCTGCGATACTTCTCCTGGGCAGTGGATTAGCATGGTCATCAAAGGAGGGCCTTTGGACCCTAGGTCTGGGAGCTCCAGTGCATTCTCTTGTGGAGCCGAAGTCGAAGGGCTGCAGGGCTGCAGGTGTTCCTCTTCTCTCTGCTGCCCTGTTTGCTTGCGAGTTTCCTCCGGTGAAGAAACCTGGACATCCGGTCGGGCACAGGAGACGGATGGTTGCCAGAGCCTTCCATCCGATGTTGACTTGCTCAGACGCCTTGGCAAGGCTCTGGAGCAGGCACCTACGCACAAGGAAGACGTAAGTCCTCAACCTTCAAGCTTGGTTTGAAGGACGTAAACGCTTGGACCTGCTGACTTCATTTGGAGGAACTTCAGTAATGTACTTTGGCTCAGATCAAATTATGGAAGGGCCCAATTTTGTCACGGAGCTGAAGGCCCTAGCGACATTGAGGGCGCCCGACGCGTTCGATCATGGCTAACGCAGGCTTTAGAGCCGTTCCACACTTACAGCTCGGCGACATAGGTCGACGCATGTGTCTGACAAGTTTTGTTTTTGCTGACCTGGGCTGGCCTTGGAATGCTTATCAGCTAACCCAGCAGTTCTCGCCTTCAGGATCCGATGCTCACGAAGAATCAAATCGAGCTGCGACGCAAACTGAACCCCCTTTCCATCTCATCCCAACATTCATCGAAGCTCGCCCATTGTTGCCTTTTTCTTCTTCCAAAAATAGTAGTGAAAGCCCTGTGTGCTGCGGGCAGATTTGTACAGGAAGAGGCTTTAAATTTGGTGTTGAAGCGTCTCTGTTGTACAAGGCTTTGAGGACTCAAGGTTTCGGGCGTGTGGCTTCCGTACAGGACACGCTGAAGCTACGAATGACAAAAGGACCAAAGCCCCAAGCAAATCCCAAGCACCCAAGACCTGGAGCAAAACGACCTTGGCATAGAAAACCACAAGACAACTGTAAGGCATGAACCTGAAACAAGCCAGGATTAAGATAACCTAAACCTTGCGCAAGATTACTGGGAAGAGCCAGGATGCGAGGAAGAATGCGTTGGAGTAAGGGAGCGTCCGTGCGTCATCCATGTCGAATCTGCACCCTCGTAGTCGTAGTCGAGGTCCTGCAGCTCAGGCTGAGGATTTTGTCGGTCTCGAGAGTTTCTGTTTGACTTGCGCCGGCTGGCTCACCTATGTTCACCTGGTCGTCACAGGCTGTTGGGGGCATGTGCTACAAGCTGAAGCATCTGCGTTGCCACACAGCCTCTCGACTGTCCAGGCACCCCATGAACTCGACAAAACCGACTTGAAACAAATCTCTACAGTGGATGTTTCGCTTCCAGCTTGGCTGTTTTTGTTCCGGGTTTATGCCACACAAGGCCTTGAAGCGTAATCCTGCAGGCAATCAGTCTGCAGGGAGATCTCAAAGACATTTACACGTTTAGCATTTGGCCTGCCTGTGGGGGCCATGGCTTCCAGTGCTGGTGCAGAGGGAAGCCCCGATTGGGTCTATGTGGTTCAGAAGAGCTTCGTGCGTCTGGGGAAACAAGTCCTCACAGGTGACGTCTTGGAGCCTTTGGGGTTTCAGGGCTTTTTGAGCTAAAACACCCAGTGACAACACGGAGCCAGGCGGGGAGCTAAACCCCTGTCTATTTTTTCGCCGTAAATCGCTCACCTTCGGCTTCTGTCTAACTTGCTTCAAACTGGTGTTCCAGTGTTCTGCAGTTTGGCAGTCCGGCATCTGTAGAGCTTCAAACCGACGCAAGCCGCTTCCACGTCTAAAGTCGCGGATCATGGATCGAACACAGAACCCAAAACGGAAACTCTGACAAAAGCAACATGTCATGTGCATGAAGCTCCGCGTCACCATCGCCCATGTAGACTCGACTGAAATCCAGGGGCGGCACCGGGTGCACCTTCTTTGGCGAGACCTCCTTGTCGTCGAACCTGTGTTATCGAAAGGAGTTTGTTCATACTACGGCGTAGGTTTTACTATATAACGAAGTGTAAACTTGTGTGTAGTGAAACAGCCCGAACATGAAAGATCTACATCATGACGCCTGAAAAGATTCGAGATTCCTTATGGAAACGGTTTAAATTCAGCTCGATCTAGTTATTGCTTCCATCAATGAACCACGCAAGAACCACTCCAACACTCAACGCTATCCTACGTGGGCCGTTCCTTCTGTTTGAAAGACGCTGTATAACACATCCTCCAGCAATGCATTCGCAAGGCAATCTCTCCCGGTGCTTCAGGTTAGTTAAAGTTTGGGACATCCGAGGTATTTGCAAAGATGAAAAGGTCTCGGACCCTCCCGGAAGCGCTCTGAAGCAACACTTGTTTCAGTTTGTGTCGTTGAAGCCAACCGTGGTCTCTGCAAGCCTTAGCGCTCGAGGAACCCTACCTTACCTAGTCCCTGAATGGTAGTAGCTCATTGCGAACAATACATGCTTTTGTTGAATTTGTTGTAGGGGTCCTAATATAAGAAAGTCAGGTGACACAAAGACGTAAAAGGGGCTACAATTCCATTTGAGGGTTTAGGTAAACCCAATAAACCGCCCATTGGACTGTGCCGGCCGAGCAGCAGTGCGGAGAACCTAAGCGGGACCCCGGAAGCCTCGGACGGACGAGACCGCGCCGAAGAGGGAGCTGGCGGTGATGGCGGGGTCATTAGTCCCTCGGCCTTAGTCTGAGACATGCAAGGATGCAGGACTGTGTAGGGACTGGGGTCTTGAAGCGCTAGTCATTTGGGCCAGGCAAATGGATGCGAACCCGGCGGTCTACTGAGTGGCTGTGGAGACTGAAGCAGTTTGGCTTCGGAGTGTGATCTTGCTTGAACGTTATGACTTTTTAAACTCATAGTGACCTCATGTGTGAGGCTCCCATGTTACGACAGCCAGGACGGCTCCAACCGTCCAGAAACTATGGCTGCGAGAAGCACGTGTGCAAGCAACCAGCGTTCAACAACGCGTGGAGGCAAAGCAGTTGGAGTCGACCCGCTGCTTGCACGCCCTCGCCGACACATCTCTCTCACTCACACACACACACACAGACACAGACAGAGGCACACACAGGGGGCGGGGGTGGCTCCACGGCGCAGCCTTGGGGGAGGAACTAGGTAGCCCGAAGCAGCACAGAGGTGGCAGACCAAGGACTTTCCAACCGTGTTTTCACCACCTGGCCCTCTGCAGAGGAAGGTTGTGCCAGGAGATCTATGGGCTGACGATTTCCTCCTTGTACTCGCTGCCGACAGCTGTCATTCACGTGCCACTCAAGTTGCTTGTTGGGAGCACGCGTGTAGGGTTTGAGGCTCTGGAAATTCAGAGGCTCGAGCGGATCGGGCTTGTTCTGTAGGTTTGTTTGGGACAGCAGGTTCTGGGCAGGGCCGGGCAACTAGCGCTTTTCGGGGTTACCCGTAGCTTAACCGGGGGTTTGGGCTATGGTCCAAGTGTCAGTATCAATGACAAGGATAGAGTTGGGAAGTAGTAGTAGTAGTAGTAGTAGTAGTAGTAGTGGTAGTAGTAGTGGTAGTAGTGGTAGTAGTGGTAGTAGTGGTAGTAGGTGGTAGTAGTGGTAGTAGTGGTAGTAGGTGGTAGTAGTGGTA